GTCTCTGTCAAAGAAAATTTTATGGTTCCAAATTTGCCAGTCAGTGTCTGCAGAATTGCAATGCTCAGGTTGAGAAAGCCCAAATCGAGATTATGATGATTGGTTGCATTGATAATCAGTGCTTTGTGGTAGATAAAGATAAATTGCAAATGCGGTTACCTGTTGCAAAACCTATCCATGTTTAACCCTTCTCTGCTTTCATCCTTATCCTCATTGCAAGCATTAAATTCATGGTATGACAGACAATTGGAAGGGCACATTATAGGACTGTAGAAAACATTTTACCATCTGATTATCCACTGTGTCTTACAAGTTCCAAGACTTCTCAACTGCTCTGCACAGAGCTATACTATTTCCCTCTCACATCACTGAGTAGTCACGATTGAAGGATGCATAAACTCAAGTTTCTTAATTGCCCAAGCACCACATGCATAGGATCACTCCACCTGTTCTTATGTCCAGTTAATTATCACATGAAGGATGGTGGACATTATATCTTGGGATGTCATTCATGTGTTTGAAATTTTATGAGAATTATGTGGGGTGAGTAGTATCCACAAGTTGCTGAGCCTGTGTATGTAGGCCAAGAGTGGAATGCCTGGACAGTTGCAAAAAGTCAAACTGCTTCATGAGTCCTGATGCCTGATTGGCAGGACAAGTTCACTAATCCTAACATAAGAAAAGGTATCTGAATTTGCCTTACAACTGTGTACTACAGTCCACTAGAATACTGAGTCTCTGTCTCCTTTTAGACCCTCAGAAATGTAACATAGTGATCTGGCTGGAGTCCTGGGCTGTCACACTGGACATTCTGAGCAGTATCTATGCAATATTAGAGCATGAAAACATCTTGGCACAGTGAGCACATGAAGCTCTTGATAAGGCCGCAACATTCGGTAAGGAAAATATTTGAAGAATACTTTCACCTATAAATGAGCTGTGCACGGAAAATGGACTGAACCTCTTGACCCATTTCCTGTGTCCCACCTTTTTGAAAATTCACTGCGCAATTATCTAATATCTACTAATTGGAATTCAAAATGATGAAGAATCCTTAATTTCCATTCGTTTTTCATGGTCTTAGTCCGATGGTATTCCCAAATGGAAGGGAGAGCCCAAGCTCTCTCACTTAAATTTCACTGGATTCCTAGAATGTCATGTTTTATAATGTTTGAAGTAGGATATCCAAAGGAGACCAGGTACTTAAGCTGATATTTCCACGTACCTGAATGTGAAATGATTGAGGCACCTTGCCCGCATTTCTTTCACTGAAATGCAGAAGAGAAGAAATAGAAATGATCAGAGTGCTGATGTGGGCCATCTTGACATACATAGATTTTGCCAATAATGCCTTCCTTAGCAGGACTCATGCTCCCCTAAAGATGAGCACTTGGACCTTAGAGGATTCACCAGAAGGGAAAAATTTTGGGTGAATGAGGCCCTTTACAATGGCCTATGTTGAAGGCCTAATGGGCCTATCCTCCATTTCTCCCCTGTCCTTTAGTCTGGGCCTCAGCAGAACCATACTGAACATGATATTGTTGTCATCACCTCTCTTCATGACATTGGTTTGTCGTCATAGACCCGTGTCCTCAGAAGGAAAAGCTATATCTGCTAGTGGGAAACAAACAGTGCTGCTTACCAGGATGACAAAGACCAACTATCTACAAGGTAGGTCTCAGCCAGCTTCACACAAATGGTCAGCGGGAATAGGACTCCTGCAGGATTTCAAGCAGAAACAGTTGTCTCTGTCAAAGAAAGTTTTATGGTTCCAAATTTGCAAGTCAGTGTCTGCAGAATTGCAATGCTCAGGTTCAGAAAGCCCAAATCGAGATTATGATGATTAGTTGCATTGATAATCAGTGCTTTTTGGTAGATAAAGATAAATTGCAAATGCGTTTACCTGTTGCAAAACCTATCCATGTTTAACCCTTCTCTGCTTTCATCCTCATCCTCACTGCAAGCATAAAATTCATGATGTGACATACAATTGGAAGGGCACATTTTAGGACTGTAGAAAACATTTTACCATCTGATCATTCACTGTGTCTTACAAGTTCGAAGTCATCTCATCTGCTCTGCACAGAGCTATACTATTTCCCACTCACATCACTGAGTAGTCACGATTGAAGGATGCATAAACTCAAGTTTCTTAATTGCCCAAGCACCACATGCATAGGATCACTTCACCTGTTCTTATGTCCAGTTAGTTATCACATGAAGGATGGTGGACTGTATAACTTGGGATGTCGTTCATGTGTTTTAAATTTTATGAGAATTATGTGGGGTGAGTAGTATCCACAAGTTGCTGAGCCTGTGCATGTAGGCCAAGAGTGGAACGCCTGGACAGTTGCAAAATGTCAAATTGCTTCATGTGTCCTGATGCCTGATTGGCAGGACAAGTGCACTAATCCTAACATAAGAAAAGGTATCTGAATTTGCCTTACAACAGTGTATATTAGTCTGCTAGAAAACTGAGTCTCTGTCTCCTTTTTGACCCTCAGAAATGTAACATAGTGATCTAGCTGGAGTCCTGGGCCTTCACACTGGACACCCCTGAGCAGTATATGCAATATTAGAGCATGAAAACATCTTGGCACAGTGAGCACATGAAGTTCTTGCCAAGGCCGTAACATTCGGTAAGGAAGATATTTGAAGAATACTTTCACCTATAAATGAGCTGTGCAAGGAAATTGGACTGAACCTCTTGACCCATTTCCTGTGTCCCACCTCTTTGAAAATTCACTGCTCAATTATCTAATATCTACTAATTGGAATTCTAAATGACGAGGGATCTTTAATTTCCATCCGATTATCATGGTCTTAGTCCGATGGTATTCCCAAAAGGAAGGGAGAGCCCAAGCTCTCTCACTTAAATTTTACTGGATCCTAGAATGTCATGTTTTATAATGTTTGAAGCAGGATATCCAAAGGAGACCAGGTACTTAAGCTGATATTTCCACGTACCTGAATGTGAAATGATTGAGGCACCAAGTTTGCATGTTCGTTCACTGAAATGCAGAAGAGAAGAAATGGAAATGATCAGAGTGCTGATGTGGGCCAGCTTGACATACATAGAATTTGCCAAAAACTGCCTTCCTTAGCAGGACTCATGCCCCCCAAAAATGAGCACTTGGACTTAACATTATTCACCAGAAGGGAAATATGTTATGTGAATGAAGCCCTTTACACTGGCCTATGATGAAAGCCAAATGTTCCTAGTCCCCCATTTCTCCCCTGTCCTTTATTCTGGGCCTCAGCAGAACCATACTGAACATGATATTGATGTCATCACCTCTCTTCATGACATTGGTTTGTCATTATAGACCCGTGTCCTCAGAAGGCAAAGCTATACCTACGAGTTGGAAACAAACAATGCTGCTTACCAGGATTACAAAGTCTAAATATCTAGAAGGTAGTTCTCAACAAGCTTCACACAATTGGTCAGCGGGAATAGTACTCCTGCAGGGTATCAAGCAGAAACAGTTGTCTCTGTCAAAGAAAATTTTATGGTTCCAAAGTTGCAAGTCAGTGTCAGCAGAATTGCAGTGCTCAGGTTTGGAATTCCCAAATCTACATTAAGATGATTGCGTGCAGTGATTATCAGTGCTTCCGGGTAGATCATGTTGACTTGTAAATGCGGTTATCTTTTTGCCAAAACTATCCAAGTTTTACCCTTCACTTGTTTCATCCTCATCCTTACTGCCAGCATACAATTTCTGAGGTGACAGACAATTGGAAGGCCATATTATAGTCCTGGTGAAATCATTTTAGCATCTGATCATTCACTGTGTCTAACAAGGTCCAAGACATCTCATGTGCTCTGCAAAGAGCTAACTATTTCCCTCTGACATCACTGAGTATCTACAATTGAAGGATGCATAACCTGAAGTTTCTTAATTACCCAAGTACTACATGCATAGGATTACTTCACCTGTTCTTTTGTCCAGTTAATTATCACATGAAGGGTGGTGGTCTTTATATCTTGGGATGTCATTCATGTGTTTGAAATTTTATGAGAATTATGTGGGGTGAGTAGTATCCACATGTTGTTGAGCCTGTGCATGTAGGCCAAGATTGGAATGCCTGGACAGTTGCAAAATGTCAAATTGCTTCATGTGTCCTGATGCCTGCATGGCATTACAAGTTCACTAATCCTAACATAAGAAAAGGTATCTGAATTTGCCTTACAACTGTTTACATTAGTCCACTAGAAACCTGAGTCTCTGTCTCATTTTTGACCGTCAGAAATTTTGACATAGTGATCTAGCTGGAGTCCTGGGCCTTCACACTGGACACCCCTGAGCAGTATCTATGTAATATTGGAGCATGAAATCATCTTGGTACAGTGAGCACATGAAGCTCTTGCCAAGGCCGTAACATTCAGTATGGAAGATATTTGAAGAATACTTTCCCTATCAATCAGCTGTGCAAGTAAAATGGACTGAATGTCTTGACTCATTTCTTGTGTCCCACCTGTTTGAAAATTCACAGCTCAATAACCTAATAACTACTAATTGGAATTCTAAAAGACGAGGAATCTTTAATTTCCATCCGTTTATCATGGTGATAGTCAGAGGGTATTCCCAAAAGTAAGGGTGAGCCCCAGGTCTCTCACTTAAATTTCACTGGATTCCTAGAAGGTCATGTTTTCTAATGTTTGAAGTAGGATATCCAAAGTAGACCAGGTACTTAAGCTGATATTTCCCCGTATCTGAATATGAAATGTATGAGGCAACAAGTCTGCATCTTTCATCACTGAAATGCAGAAGAGTAGAAAGGGAAATGAGCAGAGTGCTGTTGCGGGCCAGCTTGACATACATAGATTTTGCCAAATAATGCCTTCCTTAGCAGGACTCATTCTCCCCTAAAGATGATCTCCTGGACTTAACAGGATTCACCAGAAGGGTAACATTGCTTGGTGAATGAGGGCCTGTGCACTGGACTATGAGAAATGCAAAAAGACCCTAGTCCCCCATTTCTCCCTTGTCCTTTAGGCTGTGCCTCAGCTCTACCATACTGAACATGATTTTTATGTCATTACCTCTCTTCATGACATTGGTTTGTCATCATAGTCCCGTGTCCTCAGAAGGCAGAGTTATACCTGCAAGTGGGACACAAACAATGCTGCTTACCAGCATGACAAAGACAATCTATGTAGAAGGTAGGTCTCAGCAAGCTTCACACAAATGGTCACCGAGCCTTTGACTCCTGCAGGGTATCAAGCAGAATCAGTTGTTCAGGTAAGGAAAATTTTATGGTTCCAAATTGGCTAGTCAGTGTCAGCAGAATTGCAATGCTCAGGTTTGGAATGCCCAAAATCTAGATTAAGAATGTTGGTTGCATTGATAATCAGTGCTTTGGTTTAGATTATCTACAGTTTAAATAGTGTTACCTGTTTGCCACGGCTAGCCAAGTTTAACACATCACTGGTTTCATTCTCATCATCATTGCCAGCATTCAATGCATGAGGTGACGGACAATTGTGAGGGCATATTATAGTCATGGTGAATGCATTTACTATCTGATCATTCACTGGGTCTTACAATGTCCAAGAAATCTCATCTGCTCTGAAGAGAGCTATCCTGTTTCCCTCTGACATCACTGAGTACTCACCATTGTAGGATGCATAACCTCAACTTTCTTAATTTCACAAGCACCACATGTGTATGATCCCTTCACATGTTCTCTAGCCCAATTCCTTGTCACATGAAGGATGTCGGACTTTATATCTTGGGATGTCATTCTTGTGTTTGAAATTTCCTGCCACTTAGAGTGGTGAGTTGGTATCCACATAATGCAGATCCTGTGCGTCTATGCAAAGTGGGGAATGCCTGTCCAGTTACACACTGTCTAATTGCATCATGTGGCCAGTTGCCTGCATATCACGACAAATTCACTAATGCTAACATAAAGAAATGGTTACTGAGTTTAACTTACTGATGTTTACATTAGTCCACTAGAACACTGCCAAGTCTCTGTCACATTTTTGACCCTCAGAAATGTAACCTAGTGATCTCCCTGTAGTCCTGGTCCTGCACAGTGGACTCTCTTAGTACTATCTATGCAAGACTGGAGTATGAATACTTCTTGGCACAGTGAGCATATGAAACTCTTTCCAAGTCCATAACAATCGGTATGAAAGGTATTTGAAAAATACATTAATCTATCAATGAGCTGTGCAAGGAAAATGGACTGCTTTGTACATTAGTCCCCTAGAAAACTGTGAGTCTCTGCCTCCTTTTTGACACTCAGAAAGGTAACATAGTGATTTAGCTGGTGTCCTGGGCCTTCACACTGGACACACCTGAGCAGTATCTATGCAATATTGGAGCATGAAAACAACTTGGCACAGTGAGCACATGAAGCTCTTTCCAAGGCTGTAACATTCGGCATGGAAGGCGTTTGGAGAATACTTTCACCTATCAATGAGCTGTGCAAGGAAAAAGAACTGAACGTCTTGACCCATTTCTTGTGTCCCACCTCTTTGAAAATTCACAGCTCAATTACATAATACCTACTAATTGGAATTCTAAATGACGAGGAATCTTTAATTTCCATCCTTTTATCATGGTCTTATTCAGATGGTATTCCCAAAGGGAAGGGAGAGCCCAAGGTCTCTCACTTAAATTTCACTGGATTCCTAGATGGTCCTATTTTCTAATGTTTGAAGTAGGATATCCATGGGAAATATCCATAGGAGACCAGGTACTTTAGCTGATATTTCCACGTACCTGAATGTGAAATATTTGAGGCACCAAGTCTGCATCTTCGTTCATTGAAATCCAGAAGAGAAGAAATGGAAATGATCAGAGTGCTGATGCGGGCAGGCTTGACATACATAGATTTTGCCAAAAATTGCCTTCCTTAGCAGGACTCATGCTTCCCTAAAGATGAGCCCCTGGACTTAACAGGATTCCCCCAGAAGGGAAACACTGCTGGGTGAATGAGTGCCTGTGCACTGGCCTATGAGAAAGGCCTAATGGGCCTAGTCCCCCATTTCTCCCTTGTCCTTTAGCCTGGGCCACAGCAGAACCATACTGAACATGATATTTATGACATCACCTCTCTTCATGATATTGGTTTGTCATCATAGACTCATGTTCTCAGAAGGCAGAACTATACCTGCAAGTGGGACACACACAATGCTGTTTACCAGCATTTCAATGACCATCTATGTAGAAGGTAGGTCTTGCAACCTTCACTCAAATTGTCAGCGGGCATTAAACTCCTGCAGTGTATCAAGTAGAATCAGTTCTCTCAGTTAAGGAAAATTTTTATGGTTCCAAATTGGCTAGTCAGTGTCAGCAGAATTTCAATGCTCAGGTTGGAATGCCAAAAATCTAGATTATGATGATTGGATGCATTGATAATCAGTGCTTTTGGGTAGATAATGATAAATTGCAAATGCAGAAACCTGTTTGCCACACCTAGTCAAGTTTAACACATCACTGGTTTCTTTCTCATCATCCCTGCCATCATTCAATGCATGAGGTGACAGACCATTGTGAGGGCATATTATAGGCCTGGTGAAAACATTTTACCATCTGATCATTCACTGTGTCTTACAAGGTCCAAGACATCTCATGTGCTCTGCACAGAGCTAACTATTTCCCTCTGACATCACTGAGTACTCACAATTGAAGGATGCATGACCTCAGGTTTCTTAATTGCCCAAGCACCACACGCATAAGATCACTTCGCATGTTCTTTTGTCCAGTTAATTATAACATGAAGGGTGGTGGACTTTATATCTTGGGATGTCATTCATGTGTTTGAAATTTTATGAGAATTATGTCGGGTGAGTCTTACAAGGTCCAAGACATCTCATCTGCTCTGCACAGAGCTATCCTATTTCCCTCTGACATCACTGAGTACTCACCATTTTAGGATGCATAATCTCAGGTTTCTTAACTGACCAAGCACAACATGCATAGGATTCCTTCACCTGTTTTCTTCCCCAATTCCTTAACACATGAAGGATGGAGATCTTTATAGCTTCGGATGTCATTCATGTGTTTGAAATTTCTTGCCACTTATGTTTGGTGAGTTTGTATCCACATAATGAGGAGCCTGTACATCTCCGCCATAGGGGAATGCCTGTCCAGTTTCACACTATCGAATTTCCTCATGTGGCCTGTCGCCTGCATATCAGGACAAGTTTACTAATCCTAACAAAAAGAAATCGCATGTGAGTCTAACTTAGTGATGTGTAATTAGTCCACTAGAACACTGTGTGTCTCTGTCTCCCTTTTGACCCTCAGAAAGGAAACCTAATGATCTCCCTGCTGTCCTGGGCCTGCACACTTGACACTCCTGAGCACCATCTATGCAAGACTGGAGCATGAATACTTCCTGGCACAGTGAGACCATAAAGCTCTTGCCAAGGCAGTAACAATCAGTATGGAAGGTATTTGAAAAATACATTAACCTATCAATGAGCTGTGTAATTAAAATGTACTGAAAATCCTGATCCATTTCTTGTGTCCCACGTGTTCGAAAATTCACAGCTCAGTTATGCAATATCTAGTAATTGGAATTCTAAAAGGCAAGGCAACTTTAATTGCCATCTTTTATCATGGTCTTAGTCAGATTGGATTCCCAAATGAAGCGAGAAGCCAAGCTTTATGGCTAAATTTCACTGGATTCCTAGAAGGTCTTGTTTTCTAATGTATGAAGGAGGATATCAAGAGGTGTCATAGGTACTTAAGCTGATATTTCCACGTACCTCAAAGAGAAATGATTGAGGCAAAAAGTCTGCATTCTCGTTCACTGAAATGCAGAAGATTAGATGGAATTGAGCAGAATGCTAATGTGGGCCAGCATTAACATACATAGATTTTGCCAAAACGTGCCTTCCTTGGCAAGAGTCATGCTCCCCTAAAGAAGAGCACCTGGACTTAACAGGATTCCCCAGCATGGAAACACTGCTGGGTGAATGTGGGCCTGTGCAGTGGCCTATGGACAGGCCTGATGTGCCTAGTCTCCCATTTATCCCCTGTGCTTTAGCATGGGCCTCAGCGTACTCCCCTGAGCATGATATTTATGTCAGCACCTCTCTTGATGACATTGGTTTGTCATCATAGACGCTTATCCTTATAAGGCATAGCTATGGCTGCTAGTGGGACACAAACAGTGATGCTTACCATGATGACAAAGACCATCTATCCATAAAGTAGGTCTTGGCAGGCTTCACACAAATGGTCAGCATGCATTAGACTCCTGCAGGGGATCAAGCAGAATCAGTTTTCTTAGTAAGAAAAAATTTGTCGTTTCAAAATTCAAGTCAGTGTCAGCAGTATTGCAATGCTGAGGTTTGGAATCTATCAAACTATGGATTATGATAATCGGGGGCATTGATAATCAGTGCTTTGGGGTAGATAACGATAAATTTCTAATGTGGTTACCTGTTTTCCACCCCTAGCCAAGTTTAGCCCTTGACTGACTTCATCCTCATCCTCACTGCCAGCATTCATTCCATGAGGTGACAGACCATTGGGAGAGCATATTAATAGGGCTCATGAAAACATTTTACCATCTGATCATGTACTATGTTTTACAGGGTCCAAGATATCTCATCTGCTCTGAATAGCACTATCCCATTTCTTGCTGATATCACTGACCACTCACCATTTTATGATGAATAACCTCAGTTTTCGTAATTGCCCAATCACCGCATGCATAGGATCCCTTCATATGTTCTCTTGGCTAATTCTTTATCACATGAAGGATGGAGGCATTTATAACTTGGGATGCCATTGATGTGTTTGAAATTTCATGCCACTTATGTGTGATGAGCGGTTCTCCACATTTTGATGAGCCTGTGCATCTAGGATATAGTGGTATGCCTGGCTAGATGTATGCTGTTGAATTGCCTCATATTTCCTAATGCCTACAAGGCAGGAAAAGTTCACTAATCCTAATAAAATGAAAACGTATCTGATTTTGCCCTGCTCATATGTATATTAGTCCATATAACACTCTGAGACTCTGTCTCTCTTTTGAGCCCTAGACAGGTAACCAAGTGATCTCCCTTGAGTTGAGGGCCTGAACACTGGACAATACTGAGTGCCATCTACACAAGTGTGGAGCATGAAACCTTCCTGACACAGTGATAACATGAAACTCTTATGAAGGCAGTTACAATCAGTATGGAAGTTATTTGAAGAATATATTCACCTATCAATGAGCTGTGCAAGGAATATGGCCTGAACTTCCTGAACCATTCCTTGTGAATTACCTCTTCGAACAGTCACTGCACAGTTACACAATACCTACCACTTGGAATTCTAAAAGACAAGGCAGCTTGAATTACCATTATTTTATCATGGTCTTAGGCCTAGGGGATTCCCAAAAGGAAGGGAGAGCCCAAGTTCTATGGCTTAAATGTCACTGGCTTCATAGAAGGTCATGTTTTCTAATGTTTGAAGGCAGATATCGAAAACTTACCCAGGCACTTAACATGAACTTTCCACTTACCTGAAGGAGAAAGGATTGGAGCACCAAGTATGCATGTTGGATCACTGAAATCCATAAGAGAATGATGGACATGAGCAGAGTGCTGATGCCGGCCAGCATTGACATACATGGATTGCCCAAATTATTGCCTTCTGATACATGACTCATGCTCTCCAAAAGAAGAGCTACTAGATCTCACAGGAATCCCCAGACAGGGAACCACTCCTGGGTAAATGAGGGCCTGTGTTCTGGCTTATGAGAATGGCCTGAGTAGCTTAGGTCCCCATTTCTCTCCTGTCCTTTAGCCTGGTCCTCAGCGTGATCCTATTGAGCATGATTTGCCATCATAGACCCATGTACTCAGAAGGCATATCTATACCTGATAATGGGACACAAATCATGCTTCTTACCAGGATGACAAAAAACATCTAGAAGGAAATCTCAGCAAGCTTCAGACCAATGGTCAGCTTGCATTAGGCTCCTGCAAGTGATCAAGCAGAATCAGTTCTCTTAGTCAAGAAAATTTAGCATCACCAAAATGTCCTGTCAGTGTCAGAGGAATTGAAATGCCCAGCTTCAGAAATCCAAACACTCTACACAATTGTTGGGGACAAATGTTATTCATAGTCATGGAAGAGATAATGAAAAACGAATACTTGTTGCTTGTTTGCTACCCTTAGATAAGTATAATCCTTGAGGGTTTCACTCTCATCATCACAGCATGATTTAATAGCATTATCTGACAGAGAATTTGGAAGATATATAATTGGTCTGCTGAAAACCTTCGGGTCAGGCAATGTTTCTTACAAAGTCCAAGACAATTCATGACCAGTTCTTTGCAAAGCTCTATCCTACAAAGCTCTATCCTATTTACTCTGATATAAGTGAGAAATCACCATTGTCAGATGCATACCCTCAATGTTCTTTATTGGCCAATCACCACCTGCTAGGACACCTATACCTGGACTCTTGGCCCATTTCTTATGACATATGCAACGAAGCCTTTGCAACTTGGGATGTCATTCATGTGGTTGAAATTCCATGCCAGTGATGGGTGGTGAGTGTGTCTCTACCTGTTGATGAGCATGTTCATCTAGGCAAAGTGGGGAATACATGGCCAGATGCAACCTTTCGATTGACTCTAATAGGCTGAAGCCTGTATGGCAGGACACTTTCACTAATACTACAGAAGTGAAAATGTATCAGTGTTTGTCTAACAGATATGTACACTTGTGCACTAGATTACTGTGCACGTCTGTCTGCCTCATGAGACACAGGAAATTAATTTAGTGTTCTCCTGCTGTTTACACCTTGCATAGTGGAAATTCTTGAGCACAGTCTATACAAGTTTGGAGCATGTCACCCACCTGACCCAGTGAAAACAGGAAGCATTTCTTCCTGCTGTAACAATCAGTATGGGAAGTAGATAGATACCCCATGAAGGGGATTTGAAGATCACATTCAACTATCATTGATCTATGCAAGGAAAAGATCCTGAACGTCCTGACCCAAGCCTTGTGTCCCAACTCAGAGAACAGTCACTGCTCTCTTACCCAGTACCTACTACTTGGAATACTACAAGATAAGGCAGTTTGAATTACCTTTTTCATGGTTAGATCAGGGGATTCCCAAAAGCAAAAGAGAGCCCAACTTGGATCCCTTAAAGGTCACTGCATTCCTACAAGGTCATGCTTTATAATGTTTGAAGGCATATATCTGAAAGAGACCTAGCTATTACCATGAACTTTTCACTTCCCTGAAGGTGAAATTACTTGGTTAGAAGACAGCATCCTGGATCATTTAAATGCTAAACAGAAGAGAAGGACACGAGCAATGTGCTAATGCCTACCAGCATTGTCATACATATATTGCCCCAACTAATGCCTTCTGAGGCAGGACTCATGCTCTTCTAAAGTAGAGCACCTGTACCTTAAAGGATTCTATAGACAGGGAAACACTCCAGGGTGAATGAGGGCCTCTGCACTGGCCTATGAGAATAGTGGAGACTAGGCCCCCATTTCTGCCCTGTCATTTAGCCTGGGAATAATCGTAATCCCATTGAGCATGATTTTTATGTAATCACCTCTCTTCATGACATTGGTTTGTCATCATAGACCCCCATCCTCAGAATACATAGCTATACCTGAGAGTTGGACAAAAACCGTGCTGCTTACCAGCATGAAAAAGAACATCTAGAAGATAAGTCTCAGTGAGATTCTGACACATGTCAGTCAGCATTAGGCTCCTGCAAGGGATCATGCAGAATCAGTTCTCTTAGTCAAGGAAAATTTGGTGTCCCCAAAATGTCATGTCAGTGTCAGAAGAACTCAAATGCTCAGCTTCAGAACACGCAAACTCTCTAAACGATAGATGGGGACAATTGCTAATGCACGTCATGGAAGATATAATGTAAAATTTTAATGCTTGTTGCCTGTTTGCTACTGGTAGAAACATTTAACCCTTCAAATATTTTATCCTCATTCTCACTGCCTGCATTCATAGCATTAGATGACATAACACTGGGTAGGCATATTATTTGTCTTCTGAAAACATTTTTGCTTCTGATCAGGCACTCTGTCTTACAAGGTACAAGACCATTCATCTCCAGTTCTTTGCACAGCTCTATCCCAATTTCACTCTGCCATCACTGCCCACACACCATTGTAAGATACATATGCTCGATGTTTTTATACCCATTCACTGTGTGCTTAGGATACCTAAACTTGTACACTTGGCCCATTTCTTATCACATATGCAAAGGAAGCCATTGTACCTTGGGATGTCATTCATGTGTTTGAAATACTGTGCTACTGCTGTGTCGTGAGTTTGTCTCTACATATTGATGATCCTGTTCATCTAGGCAAAGGGGGTAATTCCTGGCCCGATGCACCCTTTTGAATTATGTCAATTAGGCTGAAGCCTGCATGGCAGGACAAGTTCACTAATCCTCAGGAAAGTAAACGTTATCTGTGTTTGTATAACTGATATGTACATTTGTGCAATAGATTACTGTTGGTGTCTGTCTGCCTCATGAACCCCAGAAATGTAACATAGGGATCTGCCTGCTGTTTAGGCCTTGCATAGTGGATATTCTTGAGCATTGTCTATACAAGTTTGGAGCATGTCTTCCTCCTGACCCAGGGAGAATATGAAGCTCTTGCTCTGTCACAGACAATCAGTATTATAGGTAGATAGATACTCCATGGCAAGGACCTGATGATGACATTCAACTATCAATGAGCTATACAAGGAAAAATCCTTAACTTCCCTTGTGTCCCACCTCCACGAACAGTCACTGCTCTGTTTCCCAGTACCTACTACTTGGAATTCTACAAGATAAGGCAGTTTGAATTACCACCCCTTTCTCATGGTATTAGGCCTATTGGATTCCCCAAATTAAGGAAGATCCCAAGATGTATGCCTTAAATGTCACTGCATTCCTAGAAGTTCATGTTTTCTAATGTTTGAAGGTAGATATCCAAAATAGACATAGGCACTTAACATGAACTTTCCACTTACCTGAAGGTTAAACGAGTGGGTTAGAAAACTGAATTCTGGATCACTGAAATGCAGAACAGAGGAAATGGAAATAGCAGAATGCTGAGTCTGGCCAGCATTGACATAATTAGATTGCCCTAACTGGTGACTTCTGAGGTAGGACACAAGCTCTCCTAAGGAAGAGCAACTGGATTTCACAGGATTCCTAAAGAAGAGCAGCTGGACCTCACAGGATGCCCCAGAGAGGGAACCACTCCTTGGTGAATTAGGGCTTGTTCACTGACCTAAAAATTTGTCCTGAGAAAGAATAGGCCCCATTTCTCCCCTGTCCTTTAGCCAGGGCCTGAACATAATACAATTGAGCATGATTTGTATGTCATCACCTCTCTTCATGACATTGATTTGTCATTATACATCCGGGTCCTCAGAAGTCATAGCTATGCTTGATAGTGGGTCACAAACAGTGATGATTACCAGGATTACAAACACCATTTAGAATATAAGTCTCATTGCCGGGCATTGGTGGTGCATGCCTTTAATCCCAGCACTCGGGAGGCAGAGGCAGGCATATCTCTGTGAGTTCGAGGCCAGGCTGGACCGACAGCCTCCAAAACAGAGAAACCCTGTCTTGTAAAACCAAAAAAAAAAAGAATGTAAGTCTCAGCGAGCATCAGACAAATGGTCAACCGGCATTATGCTCCTGCAAGATATCAAATAGATTCAGTTCTCATAGTCAAGGAAAATTTAGTGTCCCCAAAATGTCATGTCAGTATCAGAGGAATTGAAAAGCCCAGCTCCTGAAAACCCAAACTCTCTACACGATAGTTGGTGGCAATTGTCAATAAAATTTGTGGAAGAGACAATGAAAAATTTTAATGCTTGTTAATTTTTTGCTACTCATAGACATGTTTAAACTTTCAAATGATTAACCAACATCCTAACCACCTGCATTCATATCACTAGCTGATAGAACATTGCGTAGGCATACTTTAGGTCTGCTGAAAACAGTTTAGCTTCTGATCTGGCACTGTGTCTTACAAGGACCAAGACTATTCATATCCAGTTATTTGCACAAGTCTATCCCATTTCCCTCTAACATCACTTTCCAATCACCACTGTAAGATGCATAACTTTATGCTTCTTTATAGCCCATTAACTGTGTGATTAGGATACCTAAACCCGTACTCTTGACCCATTTCTTATCCCACATGCAACGTAAGCATTTGCAGCTTGGAGTGTCATTCATTTGTTTGAAATACCATGTCATTGATATGTTAGGAGTGGGTCTACACATGATGATGAGCCTGTGCATCTAGGCAAAAAGTGGAATACCCAGCCAGATGCATCCTGTCAAATTGTCTCATGTGGCCTGATGACTGAATGGCAGGACAAGTTCAATAATCCTAATGAAAGAAAATATATCTGTGTTTGCCTAACTGATATGTAATTTGTACACTAGAATACTGTGAGTCTACGTCTGCCTTATGAGCCCCAGAGAAGTAACCAAATTTTCTCCTTGCAGTTGATTGCCTGAAAGGTATACATTATTAAGTGACATCTTTGCATGATTGGAGCATGTCACGCTCCTGACACAGAAAGAACATGAAGCTCTCTCTCCAGCAAAAGCATAAGAGTTCAATAAACACAGCAAGGCAGGGACTTCAAGATCGCAATCACTTATCACTGAGCTGTGCAAGTAGAATCCCTGAACTTCCTGGCCTAAGGATTTTGAACCACTTCCCAGGCCAACTAGTCCTCTGTTTCTCAATACATATTATTTGAATTCCACAAGAATTGCAGTTTCAATTAGGGGCCTGGTCTCATGGGTTTATTGCTAGGTGATTCCCAAAATGAAAGGAGAGCACAAGTTTTGTGCTGAAAGTTTTTTGTATTCATAGAAGTTCATGAATTTCAACATTTGAATGAACATCTCCAGGATTGAGCCGGGCACTCAGGCTGATAATTCCACTTACATGAATGTCTCATGAATGGGGCACCATGTTGGCATCTGGGATCACTGAAATGCAGAAGAGAAGAGATGGAAATGAGAAGAGTGCTGATGCCTGGCATCCTTGCTACATGAAGAGTGCTAGAATTTCTTTCCGATGGAGGCTCAGTGCTCCTCTAAACAACAGCAACTGTACCTCACAGGATTCCTAAGAGAGGGAAATACTCCTGGGTGAATGAGGCCCTGTGCAATAGCCCAAGGGAACGGCCTGAAGAGACTAGGTCCTCGTTTTTCACCTTTCCTTTTGCTTGGGCCTCAGCAAAATCTCATTGAGCATCATTTTTATGTCATCAGCACTCTTCATGACATTTGTTTGTCATCATAAACCTGGGTCCTCAGAAGACATAGCTATACTTGATAGTGGGTCACAAACATTGGTGCTTACCAGGATGACAAAGATCATCTTGTAGGTAGAAATCTGCGAGCTTCAGACAAATGAGCATCTGGCATTTGGCTCCTGCATGGTATCAAGCGTAATCAGTTCTCTTACCCAAGGAAACATATTTGGGGGCCAAAACATCATGTCTATGTCTTTGGAATTGCAATACCCATCTTCAGAATTCCCAACCACTCAAGCATGATAATTGGGTCAATCGCTAATCAAAGCCATAGAAGAAATAATGAAAAATTTTCATGGTGGTTACCTGCTTGCCACCCCTAGCCACGTTTAACTCTTCAGTTTTTTTTCAACCTCATCCTCACTTCCTGAATTCATAGCATTGTGAAGGCAAATTATAGATCTGTTGAAAGAATTTTAGCATCTGATCATGCACTGTGTCATAAAATTTCCAACCTGCCATTTTTTGTTCTTTGACAAGTGCTAATCCATTTCCCTATCACCATAGTAAGATGGGTACATTCAAAGTTCTTAATTGTCCAAGCACTTCCAGTTTAGGATGCCTACACATGTTCTCTGAGGTCTTTTCAATGAAGAAGCACAGAATGATCAATAATATTTGATGACTACATCAGTGACTTCACAATGGAATTCCACCCTATGTGATCTAGAATTCTATTGTAATGAAATAGGATAAATAGATCCAGGATTACCTAAACAACCCTATAAAATAAAGGAACATCTGTAACTTCAAGCCCTATTACAGAGATATAGTCTTGAAAACTGATATGTATTGGCACAAAAATATACAGGTGGACCAATGGAATTTAATTGAACACCCTGAGATAAATTCACAAACCTCTGAACACATGATTTTGACAAAGAAGCTAAAATTATACAATAGAAAAAGAAAGCATCTTCAAAGAACAGTACTGATATAACTGGATATAGGCATGTGTAAGACTGTAGATATATCCATGTCTATTGCCTTGCACAAAACTTAAGTATAAATGGATCAAAGACCTCAACATAAATACAACCACAATGAAACTCTTAGAAGAGTAATTGGGAGATATCTTCAGTTAATTGGTACAGGAGAGAGCTTCCTGAATATAACACCTGTAGCAAAGGCTCTGATATTAACAATTAATAAACGGGGCCTCCTGAAACTAAGAAGTTTCTGTAAGGCAAAGGACACAGTCTGCAAGACTAAAAGACAGACCAGCAAATGGGAAAATGATATTAACTATACCCACATCATACAGAAGGCTGATCTACAATACTTAAAAAAACAGAAGACACAATTCCCCAAAATACCAAAGTATGCAAATTAAAACTGGGGTACAGAATTAAAAAGAGAATTCTCAATAGTAGAATCTTGAATGGCTGAGAGACACTTGAGAAAGTGCTCAACATCCTTAGCTAATAGATAAATGCAAATCAAGCAACTCTGAGAAATCATCTTATTCATGTCAGAATAGCTAAAAACAAGAACAATGATGACAATTTATGCAGGAGTTGATGGAAAGAGAGGATAACAATCTGTCACTGCTGGAGGGAGGCCAACTCATACACCCACTTTGGAAATCAGTATGAAGATTCCTCAGGAAAATGGGAATCAGTCTACCACAAGTCCCAGGGATTCCACTCTTAGGCTTATATCCAAAAGGTTCAAATTCATACAAAAAGGACATCTGTTCCATTATGATCATAACAGCACTATTTGTAATTGTCAGAACCTGGAAACGATCTATATGCCCCTCAATTGAATAATGGTTACAGAATATATGGTATGTTTACACAAATGGTCAGCGGGCATCAGGCTCCTGCAAAGGATCAAGAAGAATCTGTTCTCTTATCGATGGAAAATTTTGCATCACCAAAATGTCATGTCAGTGTCAGAGGAATCGCAATGTCCAGTTTTTGAACATCCATATGTTTGAGCATAATAATTGGGGGTATTTGTTAATCAAATCCTTGAAAGAGATAATGAAAATTTTAATAGTGGTTACATATTTGCCACACCTAGACAAGTATAACGCTTCACTTGTTTCACCCTCATCCACACTGCCTGCATTCATGGCATCAGCTTACTAACCATTGGGAAGGCATGTTACATGTTTGGAGAAAAGGTTTTAGCTTTTTTTTTATTTTTCAGTTTAAATTTAGATAAGAAACAAGGTTGCTTCACAAGTCAGCTCCAGGTCCCTCTCCCTTTCCCTCCCCTCGTCCTGTGCCCTTTCCCCAACCCCCCTTTACCCCTCATTTCCCCAGGGAGGGTGAGGCACTCCATAGTGGTGTCCATAGTCTGTCCTTTCATACAGGGCAGGGCCTAGACCCTTCCCCAAGAGTTCAGGGAGAGAGTGCACCTCACATTTTTGGATGGGAGTCCAAACTCAGTGTGTATACTTGGGATGGGTACTGATATGCTGCCCAAGCTGATCATGCACAGTGTCATAAAAGTTCCATCCTGTCATTTGCAGTTCGTAACAGCGCTGTCCTGTTTCTCTCTGAAATCAGAGACTAATCAGTATAGTAAGATGGGTATGTTCAAAGTTCTTAATTGTGCAAGTAGAGCCTTCTTAGGATGCCTACACACCTTCTCTTGGCACTTTCCTTATTACATGATCAAAGGAATCCTTTGAAGCATGATATGTCATTCATGTGGTTGAAATACCATGACACTGATTTGTGGTGAGTGGGTCTCCTCATGATGATGAGTCAGTGAATCTAGGCAAAGTGTGAAATGCCTGGACAGATGAAACATGCCTAATTGCCTCATATGGCCTGATGCCTGCAAGGCAGTGCAAGTTCACTAAAGTTAATGAAAGGAAACTTTTCTGTGTTTGTCTAACTGATATGTACTAGAACATTGTGAGTCTCATCCTGCCTTATGAGACCCAGAGATTTAACCAAGTGATTTCCATGCAGTTGAGGGGTTGCAAGGTGGACATTCTTAATTACCATATTTGCAATTTTGGAGCATGTCAACCTCCCGAGGCAGAGAGAACATGAAACTCTTTCTCGGCAGTAACAATCAGCAAGGTAGGTAGAAACAAACCCCAACGCAGGGATTTCAAGATCACATTCAGCTATTACTGAGCTGTGCAAGAGACAGGGCCTGTATGTCCTGTCCAACCCTTGTGTCCTACCTCCCTGAACAGTCACTGGTCTGTTTCTTAGTATCTACTACTTGGAATTCTACAAAACTCAGAAGGCATAGCTATATCTGAGAGGGGGAAACAATATGTGCTGATTACCAGGATGACAAAGTCTATCTAGAATGTAGATCTCAGCGTGCTTCAGACAAATGGTCAGCCTGCATTAGGCTCCTGAAAGGGATCAAGCAGAATCAGTTTTCTTAATCAAGGAAAATTTGAGGAGCCAAAAGTTTCAAATCAGTGTCAGCATACTTGCAAAGCACAGCTTCTATACATCTAAACACCCAAGCATGATAATTTGGGGCCTTTGCTAATTAATGCAATGAGAAGATAATGAAAATATTTAATGGTTGGTACCTCTTTGCCACCCCTAGACAAGTTTAACCTTTCACCCATTTCACCATCATCCTCACTGCCTGCATTCATAGCATTAGGTAACAGACCATTGAGAAGGCATATTATAGGTCAAGTGAAAACATTTTAGCTTCTGATCAGTCACTGTGTCTTGCAATGTCCAAGACCATTCATCTGCAGTTCTTTCCGTAGCTCTTTTCCATTCCATTCTGACATTACTTCATAATCACCAGAGTTGGATGAGTACTGTCAGCGTTCTTAATTGCAAAATTATTGCCTGCTTAAGTTCCATACTCCCATTCTCTTGGCATATTTCAATTGAGATGAGGCAGCCTTTTTGCAACTTGTGATGTCATACATATAATTGAAATTCCATAATTCCGATATAAGGAAAGTTTTGCTCCATATGATTATGAGCCTGTGGATCTGAGGCAAAAAGGGGAATGCCTGGCCAACTCCATTCTCAGGAATTGCCTAATGTTCCCTGAGGTCTGGATGATAGGACAAGTTCACTAATCCAAATGAAATTAAATGGCATCTGCTTTTGCCATCCTGATATGTCCATTAGTGCACAGGAACACTGTGAGTTTCCATCTGCCTTAGGAGACACAGAAAAGTAATCTAATGATGCCCCTGTAGTCTGGGGCCTGCATAATGGACATTCATGATGACACAAATAGTTGCATAAAAAGTTTTTGTAACATTTATTCTTGATAATTTGTCTGATCATGAGCCATCTGAGGTTCACATCATATTCCATTTTTCTGAAGAAGTAAACTGTTACCTCGTGCTTTAAGTATGGCTTTTGAGTGCTTTTTTGTAAATAGTATACATAGAGTCACCCATTTCACAGCTAAGAAAGTAAATCGTGAAACTCTGCTGGAACAATGTGACAGTTCACAGAAAAATAAATCAGAAATTTTGACTATTAAAATTTTCTCTCTGTTTCTTTGGAATATTCATACCAAATGGGTCCCCTTGTATTCCTCTGAATTCAGGAACAGGATCAGATGAGTAGGAATGACATTCTGGTAACTGAGAATTAATAAAGAAGAGATAGGAAATCATTGGAAGCATTAATATTTAAGATAGCATGTTTACCTTGGAACTGAAAGGTTATGATTGAGGTGGATAAAAGAGATATTATAAGATGCCATACAAACAGCTGGGGACTTTTCAATTAAAAAGCAGGATAAATGATATTTGGTCACTAAATCAGTGACTTCACAAGGAATTCCAGTCTATGTGACCTAGAATGCAAGTGGATTTTAAATGGGATAAATAGATCCAGGGTAGCCTAAACTACCCTATAAAATAAAAGAATTTCATGAGGCATCATCATCCCTAACTTCAAGCTCTACTACAGAGTTATAGTCTTGAAAACAGCTTGGTATTGGCACAAAAATAGACAGGTAGATCAATGGAATGGAATTAAAAACCCAAATTTTAACAAACACATGCTTAATCCCTTGATTTT